AGATTCTGGCCAATTCTGCCAACAAAGCAGCAAAAGAATGGGTCAAGTGTATCCTTGAAACACCTATCCCAACAATCATTACATCAAGGCTAATAGCAAGCAGAACGGGAGCGGCACGGGTGAGAATGTTAGTTACTGGCTTTTGTTGGCTTGATTCGGAATCTGAAGAAGAGAGATCCAGTAAATCAATTGAACAACTCTGCTCCATCTCCCTGCCAAGGCTGCCAGGGAACCGGCCCAGCCGTCCCGTGCCATTAAAATCACTCCGGCAGAACTCAGGGGTCGATGGACTTTGTCGGGCCCAAGCATCTACCTGTCGGTACTCTTCGTCGCTCAGCAGGTTGACCTCAGTCTCATCTAAAGGACCAATGAGGTCCACTGTGGCTTCAGGTGAGGTTCTCAGGTTGGCATTTCGATTGCTTGATGACTTCTTCGTTTTCTTCCTGACCCAAGTTCCTGACTTCACCATTATTAACAGAAGTATGATAAATTGTTGTAATGTAATGTTATCATATCAGACAAAATGACTCACTCATAAATCAGTGTGTAAAAACTCACACACACACACACGATGTGCATACAAACAAACAGACTCACTCACTCACTCACTCATACACACTCACACATTCACTCATTCACACACATGCACAATAAAAGGTATATAACATTATATCAAAATTACAGAACACATGAGTAAATTATGTAAATAATACCAATCTTATAATAATATTTGAATTAATTGCTAATCACAAGAGTAATATCAATAACAATAATGATGAAACCAATATAAATGATGATGTAGATTATTACATTTTAAAGTACAGATCATCATCCCCATAAATTATTATGCACAGCAATTGCAATTATATAATAAGCATTTATTACCATAAAAGTATACATTCTGAAGCAAGTAAACAATCATACATACTCTAACACAGGTTTCTGGCTTCAGAAATATATAAATATTTCTAAAGGATCACAAATTACCCTTAATGTAAGCATTAAAGTCATACAAGCAGGAGTTTATCATAGATCTTACAAAAAAAAAAAAAGAACAAAAAAAAAAAAAAAAAAAAAAAAAAAAAAAAAAAAAAAAAAAAAAAAAAAAAAAAAAAAAAAAAAAAAAAAAAAAAAAAAAAAAAAAAAAAAAAAAAAAAAAAAAAAAAAAAAAAAAAAAAAAAAAAAAAAAAAAAAAAAAAAAAAAAAAAAAAAAAAAAAAAAAAAAAAAAAAAAAAAAAAAAAAAAAAAAAAAAAAAAAAAAAAAAAAAAAAAAAAAAAAAAAAAAAAAAAAAAAAAAAAAAAAAAAAAAAAAAAAAAAAAAAAAAAAAAAAAAAAAAAAAAAAAAAAAAAAAAAAAAAAAAAAAAAAAAAAAAAAAAAAAAAAAAAAAAAAAAAAAAAAAAAAAAAAAAAAAAAAAAAAAAAAAAAAAAAAAAAAAAAAAAAAAAAAAAAAAAAAAAAAAAAAAAAAAAAAAAAAAAAAAAAAAAAAAAAAAAAAAAAAAAAAAAAAAAAAAAAAAAAAAAAAAAAAAAAAAAAAAAAAAAAAAAAAAAAAAAAAAAAAAAAAAAAAAAAAAAAAAAAAAAAAAAAAAAAAAAAAAAAAAAAAAAAAAAAAAAAAAAAAAAAAAAAAAAAAAAAAAAAAAAAAAAAAAAAAAAAAAAAAAAAAAAAAAAAAAAAAAAAAAAAAAAAAAAAAAAAAAAAAAAAAAAAAAAAAAAAAAAAAAAAAAAAAAAAAAAAAAAAAAAAAAAAAAAAAAAAAAAAAAAAAAAAAAAAAAAAAAAAAAAAAAAAAAAAAAAAAAAAAAAAAAAAAAAAAAAAAAAAAAAAAAAAAAAAAAAAAAAAAAAAAAAAAAAAAAAAAAAAAAAAAAAAAAAAAAAAAAAAAAAAAAAAAAAAAAAAAAAAAAAAAAAAAAAAAAAAAAAAAAAAAAAAAAAAAAAAAAAAAAAAAAACCAGAATAGGGAGTCAACCTCTACAGATTCTGGCCAATTCTGCCAACAAAGCAGCAAAAGAATGGGTCAAGTGTATCCTTGAAACACCTATCCCAACAATCATTACATCAAGGCTAATAGCAAGCAGAACGGAGCGGCACGGGTGAGAATGTTAGTTACTGGCTTTTGTTGGCTTGATTCGGAATCTGAAGAAGAGAGATCCAGTAAATCAATTGAACAACTCTGCTCCATCTCCCTGCCAAGGCTGCCAGGGAACCGGCCCAGCCGTCCCGTGCCATTAAAATCACTCCGGCAGAACTCAGGGGTCGATGGACTTTGTCGGGCCCAAGCATCTACCTGTCGGTACTCTTCGTCGCTCAGCAGGTTGACCTCAGTCTCATCTAAAGGACCAATGAGGTCCACTGTGGCTTCAGGTGAGGTTCTCAGGTTGGCATTTCGATTGCTTGATGACTTCTTCGTTTTCTTCCTGACCCAAGTTCCTGACTTCACCATTATTAACAGAAGTATGATAAATTGTTGTAATGTAATGTTATCATATCAGACAAAATGACTCACTCATAAATCAGTGTGTAAAAACTCACACACACACACACGATGTGCATACAAACAAACAGACTCACTCACTCACTCACTCATACACACTCACACATTCACTCATTCACACACATGCACAATAAAAGGTATATAACATTATATCAAAATTACAGAACACATGAGTAAATTATGTAAATAATACCAATCTTATAATAATATTTTGAATTAATTGCTAATCACAAGAGTAATATCAATAACAATAATGATGAAACCAATATAAATGATGATGTAGATTATTACATTTTAAAGTACAGATCATCATCCCCATAAATTATTATGCACAGCAATTGCAATTATATAATAAGCATTTATTACCATAAAAGTATACATTCTGAAGCAAGTAAACAATCATACATACTCTAACACAGGTTTCTGGCTTCAGAAATATATAAATATTTCTAAAGGATCACAAATTACCCTTAATGTAAGCATTAAAGTCATACAAGCAGAGTTTATCATAGATCTTACAAAAAAAAACAAAAAACAGATATACCTTACTAAATAAAATGTCAGCACAATAGCTGTCTGAAACATCACTTCAGGGTACTATTTTTGAAATTAATGATATGGCTAAAATGCTTTTTAAATGCAATTCATTAAAGCATTTTGAATTCATAGACTTTTCAATCTGTCCCTCAGTTATGTGCATAATGATATCAATATATTGATTCCCTTTGTAAATACATTATGATGAATATGCGGTGACAAACATATGCATTTAAAGCATTATAGCAATTTGTCTAAGAACTAGGAAAATAATTTGCAAGTTATTTGTAACACATACAAATTCACACACTCACTCACTCTTGCACTTACACAGACACTTACACTCACACTCACACTTCCATCTTCACTTATACGTCCAATTTCATTCACACTCGCTCTTGCATTGACCTGTCAACATATCTGTAAAGTATCCAACACTTTTGAAGGAAACTTTTACCATTTGCTACACTGTTTTGTATCTGCTGTAATTACAGCATTTTAAATATCAATCCACTTAGGAGTGGGTCATAGTAATAAGCACATAAAAAGCTCTCTATTAGAAAGGGTTTCTTATCATGGAGAACTTGAAAAAAAAAAAAAAACAGATATACCTTACTAAATAAAATGTCAGCACAATAGCTGTCTGAAACATCACTTCAGGGTACTATTTTTGAAATTAATGATATGGCTAAAATGCTTTTTAAATGCAATTCATTAAAGCATTTTGAATTCATAGACTTTTCAATCTGTCCCTCAGTTATGTGCATAATGATATCAATATATTGATTCCCTTTGTAAATACATTATGATGAATATGCGGTGACAAACATATGCATTTAAAGCATTATAGCAATTTGTCTAAGAACTAGGAAAATAATTTGCAAGTTATTTGTAACACATACAAATTCACACACTCACTCACTCTTGCACTTACACAGACACTTACACTCACACTCACACTTCCATCTTCACTTATACGTCCAATTTCATTCACACTCGCTCTTGCATTGACCTGTCAACATATCTGTAAAGTATCCAACACTTTTGAAGGAAACTTTTACCATTTGCTACACTGTTTTGTATCTGCTGTAATTACAGCATTTTAAATATCAATCCACTTAGGAGTGGGTCATAGTAATAAGCACATAAAAAGCTCTCTATTAGAAAGGATTTCTTATCATGGAGAACTTAAAAAAAAAATCTCATAAACCATCTGATTATCTTGAACAGCATTCAGTCTCATAAATATTGCATCCATGCACTAAAAACCTTCCAAATGCAAAAATAAAATAAAAGCATCAAAAGGTACATGCAAGCAAATTGAAACAACAGATATCAACATGCAATATGAAGATTCTGTGTCTTCAGAATATTCAATGAATAAGTAGCACAGTCACCAATGGCTTATCCCTGAAACCTAATGAGTCGAAGCAGTTCTGACACCAAGCAGAAACCAATGACTTTTTAAAAATATTATGATTTTTTTTCCTATAGGTATTTTTTGCACCAATGATAATGCTAAAGATGAAAAAGCAGGATATTTAACAACAGAAGTGGCAGAAGTAACTACAACTACATCTAAATAATTACAAAATAAACATTTCTTTTCTTATTTACATTATTTCACAGTAACCATAAACTATGCAACTAGTGGGTCATCCAAAATAAGGTTTACAATTCCAGACATTAAATCTACTGCAGCCCTCCCATGATTACAAAAAAAATCCCTTCCCAATGATATCAACTTATTTAGTATTAATGCTTGAAAAATGTTTGATCTTTAAACAAATTGGAATCTAATATACTGGAATCAGCAAATCATGTAATCTTCTTCTTATCTTCTAAAAATATTGTATCAATACTCATATATCTGTGCATATACAGATATAATCATTTTGTATGAGAACGTAAATACATATTTACACAGTGTCTGTCAATTATAAATATCACAGTCATAAAAAAAAAGTTAACTTACCTCATTAATTTCCAAACTTTCACCTGTTCTTGGATCTATTATATCTCCAAATGATCTTCCAGCTATTGAACATTTGTTGAATGTCATAATATTCTGCAATGATGAGAAACCACTGATTCATCTTTCAAACACAGAAAGAGTATTTGTTAAAACTGTAATTCATTCATCAATTTTAATTGAATGCATGCTTGATTATATGGGTGAGACTACAGTCATATGTTTTATTTCACTGAGAAAGTATAGGTATATCTAAATAAGACTTGGAAAACAGGCACAAGTTATTTGCAAGACTCATCCTGCTACTCTGAATAAATCCTAATTCCCTTTTCACATATTTCATTTTTATTGCTGTGTTATGTAATCTGAAACAACAACAGGGGGAAGATAATATCTGCTGTCCTCAGATTACAGCTTTTAGTTATCCCGTATTTCACCTGTGCTTTTTCACTTGCTTTACCTGTGTCAAAGTTCCAGTCTTGTCTGAGAAAATATATTCAATCTGGCCAAGCTCCTCATTCAGGGTGGTTGTGCGTGCTTTTGCATGCACCCCAGTAGGAGTATAACAAAGGGCAACATCCCAATTGATGAGGAAGCTCTGACATAATCGAATTACTTCCACACTGAAAAGATAAAAAAAAGTTATAAGAACCGACAAGAGATCATGAAAGTATTTTGAAAACAATGATAATTTCTTTTTTAATTCATTACCTCAGTTTTGTTAAAAAAAACACCTGGTTGTGACACAGTGATCACAACTTAAAACAGAGGAATTAACTTTAATGCTCAGGTTACTTCAAA